ATTTCTCCCAACTGCATTCATATATGTGTCAATTAGAACTGAATACACTAATATTCTGAAAGAAAATATCACTTTCAATATATATATAGCCCAAACTTTGTCTTATCGAAAAACGGTCGAAAACTCATTATTTCTCAAAAGTCTAGAAGGGAGAAATACTTACTTTAGGGCTAGGAGTATGTTGACACTAATTTGGAACAATTCCACTTACCTTAGCTCGGTAGGACGACGATTCGCTGACCGAATTTCACGAAACTAACTCCGCAAGAATGCTCCCAGCAGCTTAATACTTCACTACCCAAGATTAATTCAAGTTTGGACCGCGTTTAATAGCGTAAACGGATGAAATTTTGTTGAATCTCCTCGTGTCCTCTGTTTTCTGTTCATTTCTGGAAATTTAGAGGGAGTAAATGATTAAAAACCAAAGTGGGAGGCCCTTTTATTCTTGGGACCTTTAAGTACGCGCCGACTTGGCGCTTGTCCGGTCTTCCCCCGGGCCTTTTTCTAGCGTGTATGGCATTCTAAAACTATTAACCCACATGTGAATAGGCCATCTACATGTCAAGAATTTACGAGGTGTAACAGCATCATTCAAACGCTCGAGGACATGTTGCGGGTGTGTGTGCTAGACTTTGGAGGGAGTTAGGACGAGCATCTACTCCTTATCGAATTTTCATACAATAACAGTTATCATTTTTCTATTCAGATGGCACCTTATGAGGCCTTGTAAGGGCGGAAATGTAGGTCCCCCATAGGATGGTTGAAGTAGGGAAAGCAAGGTTTATCCGACCTGATATGATACATCAATCAGAAGAAAAGGTAAAACTCATTAAAGAACGGTTGCTAACTGCCCAAAGTCTTCAGAAGTCCTATTCCGATGTGCGGCATAGATACTTGGAGTTTAATGTCGATGATTGGGTGTTTCTCAAAGTCTTGCCAATGAAAGGTGTGATAAGATTTGGCAAGAAGGGCATGCTTAGCCCTAGGTTCACTGGCCCATATCGGATCCTTCGAAGGATAGGTTGAGTGGCATATGAGTTAGAACTGCCTTCAGGCTAGAATTCGTTCATCCAATCTTTCACGTGTCGATGTTATGGAAATGTATAGGATACTTGTCTCGGGTTGTTCCGGTGGAGGATGTTCAAGTTATTGAAGAGTTTTCCTACAAAGAGACTACAGTTGCTATACTAGATAGACAGGTTCGTAGACTGAGAACTAAAGATGTAGCCTCTGTTAAAGTCTTATGGAGTAACAGAAATGTAGAAGAGATGACCTGGGAAGCTGAGGACGACATGAGATCTAGATATCCTCACTTATTCTTGGCTTGACTCGGGTTATGCAGTTGAGGTGAGATAGTTGTTTAATCGTTGTCATGTGCTTATATTATCAGTATTGTTTAGTTATTCGCCTTTTTGATATGGAACTATATTATATCGTTGCTTGTAGCATCCTGTGAGACACCTATGTTGGACTTTTTCTGCGTTTTAGGTTTCTGGATAGTCCATATTACAAAGGAGACTCTACCGAAGTTTTTCCAGCAATAGTTAAAAGAATTGGGTCTCTTAAGCTTAAGATTACATTTGAGGACGAATGTTCCTAAGGGGGGATGATGTTATACCCCGTGAGTTTCTATCTTTTAACCGATACGTGCATGCGTATGTTGAGAGTTTTTGGAGTACGACGCATGAGGAAAAAGGCACGGGGGATGAATATACGAACATGGCATCGAGTGAGCAGGAGGTCGGGGTCGGAGGCCAGGCGCACTGGGCGCCGCGCTTCGCTAGCCAGCCTGGTGCCATGGATGGTGCGTCGTGCCTCTTGACCAACACTATGGGCGACGCGCCCCGCCCCTAGGCCATCGACTCCCAACCTATATATATGTGTTAAGTGAAAGTTCAATCATTTCCAACATTTCAGCAAATCGACCCTCGACCCCTACATTACATTCTCTCAACTTTTTATTAGTTTTTAGCAGAATTACGCTGTTAAACTCCGTCCAAACGATAATTCGCCTTGGATAACGAGTTCTAGGCCTACAGGGAATGTCCCCGCGGAGTTATTTCTTAAAAATTCGCTCAGAGTACCGTAATCCCGCCTAGAAAAAGTTTTTGGAATCACTTTTAATTGACGTCTACGCGACTACAAGTGATAGGAAAGCATTTCTACCTTCTGAACTCTTGGGAAATTATGAGTTTTTGATTGAATTAAATGGATTTGAATTATAGTTATTATTACTGAAAGATATCATTGTTGCCGAGTTTTAGTATTGAAAATAGCCTTATTTTCTTAGCATAAGGCCGTAATTGAGTGGAATCGCCGGCTACAGGTTGGAACTAATTGGATAAACAAGAAGGGGCATTCGAGGTATGTTAAGGCTATTCCTTCGGCAAGTTACTTCTGTCGTAACATTGATACGACTAGCGCTTCTGTAGTGACTTAAGAACTTGAATGTTGCAGTTAGCTGTTATGAATAGACTTAAGATTGTAGTGTAGCATCCCTGATAGGGGTAGGTCGTATTTAGTATGACCTCTCGCTGTAAATAGTTGAGGAGCTGCTAATCGTATGAACTTTTTACGGAGCTATGATGTTTCCTATGTCTGTGGGGCTATAGATTGCTTATGGAACCATGATGCTTCTATTACTCACCCAAACTACAAAATTGCTTTCAGAGCCATTATATTGCTTATGAGCTAATGAATTGCTTACAGAATGATTAAGTTCTGAAGGGACTAAAGTAAGTCTTTGGGGCCATGTTGGAGTCTTTTATGAACTCCTATGTTAAAGATGATACTATCGGCCCTCCCGAGGGCCTAGTTTGTCTGAGACACAGTTGTAGTCGCTGATAGAGCCTCAAGGATACCGCTAGGGGTATATAGGTTGTTCGACACTTTCCAGGACTTATGGGGGCCCAGGTAGGTTGGTCTGTGTTGATTGTTCCTTCCAGGTTTATGGGGGCCCGGTTAGGTTCTTGTTTGTATATTTACTTGTCAGTTATGATTTAGACTATGAGGCTATTTAGGTTAATTCTTATCCCGTCCTACTGATTACTTTCAGTTCATTTATCAATTTTATCATTCAGTATTTATTAATGTCTTACATATTAATTGCATAATGTACTGACGCCCAACTATGGGGCGTTGCATACTTGCCTGCAGGTGAAGAGAGACGTGGTTAAGGACCTTCTTAGCCTTCAGCCAGAATCAGCAGTGCAGTCAGCTCCTTTTCTCCGAAGTTGATACTTAGGAAGGTTTTCTCTTTTTGTTGTACAACTCAATAGTCGGGATAACTCAAAGGACTGAAAATCCTCGTGTTACTAATCCAAATATGGATTGGTAATAGCCGGGATAGCTCAGTTGGTAGAGCAGAGGATTGAAAATCCTCGTGTCACCAGTTTTTTGAGTAGGTCGGGGCTCTGTCTCGGCCATTATTCCACTCTTAAAGGCTTATAGACTACAGATTCTCAGTTGTGAGTTGTTGTTGGTCGTGTGGGACCTATGTGTATTATACTTTGCGTGTTGACCGTGTGGGGCCTAGTTTAGCTAGTTAGTTGGCAGCCTTGTTGGTTTTAGTGTGAATATGATCGCCTATTTTCAGTCTGTTATAACTAGACAACATAATGGTCTTGTCGGTCCGCATAGGATCACCTTTATTATTATGTTGCTAGGTTAGCTAGTTTACTTTTACAGGTGTTGCGTGGCCTTGTAGGCCCGAGGCTGTATTTACAGCCGAGATATAGCAGTTTATTTTCTTGATTTTGAGTTGCTGGTAGGCTTGCTTATACCCAGTCGGGTCAGCCCCGTGTCCCAGTATAGCATTAGGTGTCAGTCATGCCTCCCAAGGTGGGGCGTGATATGAAACTATGGGTGGAGTCTGTAGTAACCAATTAAGAGAATGAGGAAACAGGTTGAGACCGAAGAATGAGACATCCTTATTATTAGATGAGAGGATCGTGTCCGAGGTGAGTATCTGAACGAGCGAATTGGTACAATCAAGTATGTATGTGAGTACTTGGATATGAGTGGCTCGTACTCGAGGTGAGCATTCACGTGAGCAGTGTGGAATGAGTACACAAATAGGTATGACTCAATGTTCATGCAGTTGGGTGTATGGATATGAGTACACAGACAGGTATGATGAGATGTTCATACGGCTGGCTGTACAGTACATGGATTTCTAGAGTCCCCTGCAAGTCATGACTAGAATGGCATATATAAGACCCTCTAGCATGTGTGTACAATTATGCGTATGAGTGACAAAAAACAAATATACATATGTGATACATGGTATATCGATACGACTTGGGCAGAATGTGAGAAACACAATGATGAGATAATACGTGATGATATGATACCGACATGGTACTGCACAATGCAGTTTTGGTATCAAATTGTACAGTGTGGAATTGTGGAAGTGCAGGTATATGTTTACACCCTTATTTTTGAAGGACGTAACTCCAGTGGTATGGTTTGATGTGGTTTCTTGTTAAGTACTTGAGTTTATTATTTGATGTTGTGGTTGAATACTTGTTTAATGTGGTCACCGTGAGTTGTGAGAAAATGCCCGATTAGGCAGAGTCTAAAATAGATTAGCTGAACTATTGGTGGGTTATTAGTGCAGGTATAGGGTAGTCTCTCTAAGGAATGTAAAGTGGGAGTTGTAAAAGGTAATGTGACTGATTTAATGATGGTAGTGACTAACTATGAGAGAACCGATATAGATATAATGTCGGGGAGTGGTTAAATGAGTAGGAATAGAATTGAAAAGGCTTAGTTAATTGTGTTGAGTCAATAAATGAGTCATGAATGGCTGGAACGGACTTAGTTAATAGTAATTGGTTTATAAATGAATAAGATGTGTTCATAGGGTTTAAATGGTGGGTTGAAAAAGGGAAAGACTAGTGAAACCGAGCTATTACCTCAATAGGGCATCGCTACAGCGAATTAACTGTCGTTATCACGAGACTACCGTAGCGGGTAAGTATCCACTGCAGTGGGCTAAGAAAACAGAATAGGTGTGACTGATGACTATAATTGAGGGGAAGGGGTATGAATATCGTTTAAGTTATATGAATTAATGAATTGATTGAGGAACCTAATAGGATATAGTTATAAGTTGGAACTGTTGTTAGAATTGGTTAATCAATTACATGTTGATTGTATGTTGTTGCGTGAACTAATCCTAGTCGGCTGATGATGGCTACCAGTATGTGTGGTGTACTAATACTACCTTGCTATACCTTTTTCGGTGTAGGTTGTGGCAGGTTTGAAGTTTTATGATTGACGAAGAAATATTCAGCATCGGCTCCCGTATTCCATCTGTCGCCGAAGTTGTGTCTCAATATTTCATATAAAGCTCTTGTACCTGTCTAGACTAGATCTTGGGAGAGTCAAGGTTTTTAGTGAGCATTGTCATTTATTTTTATTGATATTCCAATCAAAATGTTGATTTATGCAAGTTAATGAGAATCGTAAATATTTATTTCGTTATTTTAAAAAGGAGTTCTCCTATCGAGTTAGAGTTGATGCAGGTGCTCGCACGACTTGCCCATTTGGGTCATGACAAAAGTTGGTAAGAGTAATAGTACCAACAATAAATTTTATTTACATCTGAAATAAATGGTCAGTAAATATGGTTGATATATATATATAATGATGGATTTTTTTTTACAAAACATAAACTTATGGATCAAATTTTATATTTGAAAAAGTTCATCTCATAATTTGAAATTTCAAATCAAGATGTTTTGAAAATTTGGAATATCATCTCATCATTTGAAATCACGAGATGAATCGCTTGTCCAAGTGTTGATTTTATCATATGATTTCAAATCACGAAATGAAATTGCATGTCCAAACGCC